TAATTGATTTATTTAGATTTTTATGTGTTAGCCACACTTTAAGAAAAGGATCTATAAGTTCCTTTACTGTGAAAAGCATACCCTTCACTTAGTGAGACTAAAAACCTTATTATGTATTTTCCTTTAAAACTTTTAAGGCAACAAACTTGCCATGGTTTCTGGGGTTGTTAGGCTGTATGTCTCAGTTTTCTCTAAAAGTCAGCTGTGGAAGTGGTCACATAGTTTTGTGATTAAAGTTTTGAGTATAAAGCTAAGAAAAGAAAATAGTGTTTAGTTTTAATGTGGATTAAAATGAGAATCTTTAAATTATAAACCAAAATTTGTAAGTTATATCACGAAAAGTGGAACAATAGGATCTACCATGATTTTGATGCAATTTTTTTTAAAAAAGGGACTTTCCAAATACCAACTTTTTTCCTCTGGTTCATTTTAAGAGCTGTAAATTGATTGTGGCTTTGGGATGACTGTTTATTATTTCTAAATTTTCCTGTGTGTGACATTTTCCTTTTGATCATACTTGATTGCCTTAAAATTCTTCTTGGTCCCTCAGTTTTCTCCAAAGTTCCTCTTTGTCTTGGGTGCCCTTTTTCTCCTTCTCATGACAAAGCTTGGTATCCTTTGTTTTTCCTTTTATTTATTTAATGTGCTTGGATAGGATTCTCTGGAAGTGTTAACCTTGCAAGGATGAGTAAATTAGGTTTACTTTATTGAATGCTGCTGCCACTACTTTCCTCTTCCTACAGTTTACTCCAAAATCTAGCCTTAGCATAGAATTCTTAGGTGAAAGATGACAGAGATCAATGGAGGTGATAAAGTGTAGAACCCCAGGACTAGTGATGGAAGATCATCAAAAGTTTTCCTTCTTTGCTCTAAAGAGTCAGAATGTTTTATAGCTGCTTGATAACTTCTTAGAGAGCACACTAACCTCAGTCTCTGTAGCCGTTCTCCTCAGTGCTTTTCAAAGGTTGTATGATTTGCCATGTCACAAAAGATTTTTCAGAAAAATAAGCTTCATCACCATTTTTGCTGTGTAACACTAAATTTGACAGAATACTCTTTGCTTTAATTCTACATATATATGTATTATATATTTGTTATACATGTATCTCTCACAACCTAATAGAAAACCATAAACTAATTAGTCTTGCAAGTTCAGCTTATCTTTTAAATACTATTTATCTTCTAGATTGTAGCTCCAATTGTGATTCTTAAAATTACTGTTAAAATTTATTCACTTCCTGGGACTTGCCTGGTGGTGCAGTGGTTAAGACTCCATCCTCCCAATGCAGGGGGCCCAGGTTCTATCCCTGGTCAGGGAAATAGGCCCCACATGCATGCTGCAACTAAGGAGCCCACATGCCGCAACTAAGCCGGCAAGCTGCAACTAAGGAGCCCACAAGACGCAACTAAGGATCCCGTGAGCCGCAACTAAGGAGCCCACCTGCCGCAACTAAGACCCGGCACAACCAAGTAAATAAATAAATAAATATTTTTTAAAAAAAAGTATTATATAATAAAAATTATTTACTTTTGGTTATAAGATGGCATAGAGATTAGTAGACCCTATTTTGTTACTTTGGTGGTAATGTGATATGTGTGTGTGTATATATCCCTCAGTAAACTGAATGAGGACATATTTAGCACTATTTTTGGTTCTAAAACTTCAGGGATAAAAGTTTTAAAGTGTACATTTTAAAAGAATAAACTTGAATTGAGAATTGGTATTCTCTATGGTATCCTCTAGGTCAGAGATCTCAAATATTTTGGTCGCAGGACCCCTTTACACTTAAAAACTAAGGCTCCCAAGAGCTTTTATTTACATGTGTATTATATATAGATATTTAACTGTATTAGAATGTATGATTTATAACATGCATTGGTGATTTGAACCAATTAGTTCACTGTGTAATATAGATCTCCAAATAGTGACATATTTCATTATACACGATCTCTCCTCTAAAAAAGCCAAAGCCCACATGTTAATATCACCACTTGTTTCATTACAAGCTCTTAAGTGACAAATATGTTTTCCAAAATCCAATTTTCACTCAAAAATTCAACTTTTTATCATTGGCGAGAAATGCTGTCATTTGTTTCCCTTGAAGTGATGGGTTCATTTTGTTCATTTTCAAAAAAATATCTGTCAGATACCTAAGTCTGCACAGCCATAGTTCGTCATTTGTTGTTTCAAGTAAAAATGGTGTTCCACGAAAAAAGCAGCTGATTTAGCTTGTAGCTCAATCACCTAATTGCTTTCCCTCCAGACAGTATCTGCTGGCATGCAGTAGAAATGCTTTGTGGTTACTTCATATTTTGTCACACAAAATATTAAAAAGACATGTCCACAAGGATCAAGATTTAGTAAAATGAGTAATTTTTACTGCTTCATCTAGAACATTCTAAAATGAAACTGGCTGCCCTCACCCCTGCCCCCACCGTGGGTACGTGGTGGTGAAGAATACAATAACCAGGAATCCAGTTTGGTGCTACCTATTGCCTTGTTTGATTCCTGCTAAGGCTCCAGCAGTGTCTACTCACCATTGCTCTTTTTACAGTGCACTGTCAACATTGTTCCAAAAGTAAATAACATCTCAGTATTACTATGAAAATAGTATTGTCCTCACAGATGCCCTGGAAGAGTCTTAGGGACGCCCAGGTTTGTCCCCACTGGCTTTGATTACTGTTCCAGTGGTTTGAAAAAATATTCACTTAATTCTCTAGGGAAGAATGAATTGCAGCTGTCTCATTTTATGTTTTTACCTCTGATTTTAATAATTGTAATCTTGCCTTTGAAATAGAAAAATATGCCAGTTTTTAATAGAAGTCTACGTGACAGTGCATGCTTGGATTTATATTTCTGTGCTGCTTTCTTTAAATAGCATACCATTTTATAATTGTGGGCCCAGACTAAAGAGCTCATTCTCTTCAGACACTGAGTGGCTTTGTTTCTGACAGCTAGTAGTCAGCTCTGTTTTAAAACAAGCAGTTGGGTCCTGCTGGCTCAACTTGCAGTTGTCCTAGTCCTAACCCTGTCTCAGCCAAAGACTGTTGTTGGAAAGCCCACACAAAGGCCTTGTGTACAGGGAGCCCTACTAATAAGGAGCGTGTTCTAGTCCCAGCAGATTAAATCTGCTTTGGTGTGCATTCCCTTCACAAATTTCTCACTTATTTTCTTTGTTTGGTTATTTCAGTGAAAAATCATTTTTAATGGCTGTGAAGATAGTTTCTTCTAACTAGTCCGTAGTCCAAATGAAGGGGTTACTGGAGTAAAATAAAATGTTTCTTTCTCTCTGGTAGGAGATGTGATGGAGCTGCTTGAAGAAGATCTCACGTGCCCAATTTGCTGCAGTCTGTTTGACGATCCTCGAGTTTTGCCTTGCTCGCATAACTTTTGCAAAAAATGCTTAGAAGGGATCTTAGAGGGGAACGTGCGGAATTCATTGTGGAGATCATCTCCATTCAAGTGCCCCACATGCCGCAAGGAAACTTCAGCCACCGGGGTCAGTAGCCTGCAGGTTAATTACTCCCTGAAGGGTATTGTGGAAAAGTATAACAAGATCAAGATCTCTCCCAAAATGCCAGTGTGCAAAGGACACTTGGGGCAGCCTCTCAACATTTTCTGCCTGACTGATATGCAGCTGATTTGTGGTATCTGTGCTACTCGTGGTGACCACACCAAGCATGTCTTCTGTTCTATCGAAGATGCCTATGCTCAGGAAAGGGATGCCTTTGAGTCCCTCTTCCAGAGCTTTGAGACCTGGCGTCGGGGAGATGCTCTTTCTCGCTTGGATACCTTGGAAACTAGCAAAAGGAAATCTCTACAGTTGCTGACTAAGGATTCAGATAAAGTGAAGGAGTTTTTTGAGAAGTTACAACACACATTAGATCAAAAGAAGAATGAAATCCTTTCTGACTTTGAGACCATGAAACTTGCAGTTATGCAGGCCTATGACCCAGAGATCAACAAACTCAACACCATCTTGCAGGAACAACGAATGGCCTTTAACATTGCTGAGGCTTTCAAAGATGTGTCAGAACCCATCATATTTCTGCAACAAATGCAGGAGTTCAGGGAGAAAATAAAAGTCATCAAGGAAACTCCTTTGCCTCCCTCAAATTTGCCCTCAAGCCCTTTAATGAAGAACTTTGATACCAGTCAGTGGGAAGACATAAAACTAGTAGATGTGGATAAACTTTCTTTGCCTCAAGACACTGGCACATTCATTAGCAAGATTCCTTGGAACTTTTATCTGTTATTTGTGGTAATCATTCTGCTGGGCCTTCTCATTTTCTTCAGTCCTACCATATTCCTAGAATGGTCTTTATTTGATGAAATCACAACTTGGAAAGACAATCTTTCAAACTTTAGTTCCTACCTGACTAAATCAGCTGATTTTGTAGAACAATCAGTTTTCTACTGGGAACAGTTGGCAGATGGGTTTTTCATTTTCAGTGAAAGATTAAAGAATTTCACTTTGGTGGTGCTGAACAATGTGGCAGAATTTGTGTGCAAATATAAACTGTTATAAAATCTGTTTGAAGTACATAGTTCTGTGTCTTTTGTTAGAAATTTGTCAGAATACAGAGTGGTAGTTCAGATTTGGTCAAGATTCCAGTCAGATATTTTCCTCCACAAGTATTCCTTTCAAAAACAATGTCCTACACATGTTGTTGAAATTAGGTAGTATAAAGATAAAAGTGAAATTTAATAGTGTAGTCCTGAGCCCTCCTTCCTTTTTAAAGTGCTTTTGAAATAAGCATCCTACCCCTAATACTGGTTGTGTTTATGCTATGAAAAAAGGGGATGTGAGAGAGTACATGATTTAATATTGATGAGGTAGTGTAATAATGATTGTTCTTAAGCATGTAATAAAGACTACTCTTGTAAAGCAACTTTTTTTTTGAGAGTGAACATTCTTTAAAAAGGAATAAGATATGGATTGAATTTCCAACTTTTTCTGCAGAGGGTTGATTTCTTTTTTTGGTACAATGTAAGTCTCATGTAAACAAAAACTGGCATTACCTTATGCGAAGTTTACGTTTTAAGGAGGGTGGAGATTTATTTCAGCTTGCCTTTTATCTGCTTAGGTTTTGTAAATTTATCACCAGAGGAGTTTGGAGGTAAACTACAAAACTTAGGTGACTGCAAGCAAAGGCATGGGTAAAAACAAACACATTGCAAGAGCAGGAAATGGAAAAGCTGCCTTTTTACTGGCAGCTAAGTGTTGTTCCAAAGTATCATGGCAACTGTACAACCAATCAATTCACTTATTTAAAGAATTTTTTAAGAGTAGTAAGACTAATTTAACGATAGATGAAACAATCTATCAGCTATTATAAAGTACAAAATAATCAGCTAAACACTAAGGCTGTCCTATCTGCTCACATGAGATAAAGATGCCCTGTCTCCCACAGAACAAAAATAATTTTTTCACCTTGTTTAGAATTCAGATGAAAACAAGAAGTGACTTTATCTTAGAACTGCTTTCAGTCAACCTTATTTCTGTCATGGGACAAGACATTCCTTGACAGTCCAGAGGGTCTTTACCCCAGTCCATTAATTTGGTTGAGAGGAGGTAATACAAGCAGGGACAGGAAAAGAAGGTGGCAACTAAATTTCAAGTACAGAAGAATCATTCTAGTTATGAGAAGAGTAGTCAAGCTGCTAGTTGAGGTAATGACTGCCTTATCCCCAACTGACAATCCAAGATTAGCCACTAAATTGCTAAAGGGATATAAAAAATTAAGACAATGTTTATAAATATTACCTCTGCCATGAGGACTCATAGTAGATAAGAGTTTTGGAGAGGGGGAATGCTTTTCTGCTCCCAGTGTATTTTATAGATTTACAAGAGGTTTTTATGAAGGTTCTTTTTTTTTTTTTAATGAGATATAGTAAAGGGATCTATTTGACACATGTCCTCAGACATATTGGCAGTTTTCCTTAAACTATGGAGTTCCTCATCTGTTATTTTTTCATTCTGTATACTGTACGTTCCCAGGCAACTCTCAAATTTGTAAACACAGCTATGGACACACTATTTGCTTTAACAGTAGTTACCTGGAAATCGAGGTCTCTGTTTTTGTTACATTCCCCTCCCCTACATTTCTTAATCATATGTAACGTTTGTGGTCACAGGTTGATTTTCAAGTTCCTAAGTCTGTGCCTGATGGTGTGTAGCCTCTAGTGTGAAGCAAGAGGAAAATGAGTAGTCAGGAACTGGTCACTTTGAACGTGGGAGGGAAGATATTCACCACAAGGTCTTCAACCTTAAAGCAGTTTCCTGCCTCTCGGTTGACACGTATGTTAGATGGCAGAGACCAAGAATTCAAGATGGTTGGTGGCCAGATTTTTGTGGACAGAGATGGTGTTTTATTTAGTTTTGTCTTAGATTTTTTGAGAACTCACCAGCTTTTATTACCCACTGACTTTTCAGACTATCTCAGGCTTCAGAGGGAGGCTGTATTCTATGAACTTGATCCTCTGGTGGATCTCTTAAACCAAGAACACCTGCTACAGCCAAGACCTGCTCTTGTGGAGGTACATTTCCTAAGCCGAAACACTCAAGCTTTTTTTAGGGTGTTTGGCTCTTGCAGCAAAACAATCGAGATGTTAACTGGGAGAATTACAGTGTTTATAGAGCAACCTTCAGCACCGACCTGGAGTAGTAACTCCTTCCCTCCTCAGATGACCTTACTTCCACTGCCTCCACAAAGACCTTCTTACCATGACCTGGTTTTCCAGTGCGGCTCTGACAGCACGACTGATAACCAGACTGGAATCAGGTATTTTGTATTTTGAAGCCTCTATTCTACACCGGTTCCTGATGTTTCCCCTCAAAATTGAAATTTTCTCATTTCAGTTTTGGAAAAAAATGATTACTCAAAATGATTTTTTGGTGGGAGTAACCAGCAGAGTTGGGTGGAATGACCAGATAATTATTGTCCAAACTGGGATACTTTTCAGAGTGAAAGAAGTTGTTATTATGTGGGACAATAGGAATAAATCAAAGTTGTCCAGGGAAAACTGGGACTATGGTCATTCAAGTTGTAGGAGGAAACAATTTTATAGATTATGTTCCATTACTATGGAATGAGAAGCCTTTTTCTCCCCAAGGGTTTCTTTTCGTTGCTGGTATATAGTAAAGGCTCAACAGTTTGTCATGATTTCATTACACTATGTAGAGTTGTTCTTTCAGTCCTTCTGATTTGGCTACTGATTTTTCTCCATTCCACTTTATTTTTAAACACCATTAAGGCAGATATATCTCATGGCAAATCTGGTCTCCTGTTACATTGTTGGCATTCTTTACACAACTCAAAATACTGGGATAGGCTGTCAGTATATTAAGGATAGTTGCTTCTGAGTCAGTCACTTTCTCCCCGTTATTCTTGGCTGGACCCTAAGGCGGATTTCCACTCTACTGTCACGGACACTTTTTTCGCCCCTTAGAAATGTCGTAATGCTGTCCCACTGTTATTTTACTGTGAAAGCTGGCTTTAATTTTCAGGAGGGGAAAAAAAATTCTACATATGTTCTTTACTGACAGTATTTAAATAAGATACACGTTTTTGGGGTCAAGGTAGACAGACATATTTGGGGATATTTTCTTAACTTTTGCAGTAAACATAAGAAATGACCAATGTTTACCCCTCCCACAACATACCCCTTGGTCCTGCATACCAGCTGAAGAACCCAGTAGGACAGTAGGACAATTCTTAAGTTTTTACGCTTTATAATTTCCTGCCTTTCCAAAGAGGCATGAAATGTCATTTTGGGGAAAGAGATCCAGCTAACAGGCTGATTGAGAAGAAAACCTAAGACCCTATCTCTACCTCAAAATGTTTTAAGATACCTCTGGGCACAGTTGGTGGGGTACTAACATAAATAGAAGGGAAATTACCAGTTGTTGTTTTTTTTTTAATTTGTGTGATTAAGATCTTTGGGGATCCCTTTCTAAAAAGTTAAAAAACTAAGGAAAAATGGTGTCATTGATTTCAAGAAGAAACATGCAAGATAAAAAGGTATCATGGAAATACTAAATGATCTTTAAAAGCTATGCATTTGGAGAAAATGACTATAATCTTGAAAAACATTAGAAACTCAAGTTGGGATATTCTTTGTGTGTACACAGTGACAGTAGTTTCCCCTTTGCTGTTAAGTGTTTGTATTTTACAAATAGTACAAAAATTTTTTTCATCTTAATGAGAGAATGACATTATATTTAAATTCCAAAACCAGAAGCTATTTTTTAAACTGACTTTTTCTTGCACCCCCAAAGAGTATTCTTTTCAGTTGTTTGAAGTTTAGAATTTTTTTCAGCCTATAAGTGGTCATGATTTTCTTCTATAGTTCCAATTTCAAAGTAGAGGTAGATAACCCAAATAAGGTGACATTATTGGGAGTTCAGGTGATCGGATGAAAGCTCTTGGTCTTAAGAGGCCCACCTTAGGTATATAATTATTTAGCTAGCAATCATTTTTATTTCTTACTCACTCCTTGTGGTCTGAATCTGTCCATTCAGATGTTTTTCTTGATGGTGGAAAGTGGAGGAGTGAGCCTGAACGGCTGCTCAGAGCCTGATGTATCATCCAGCTGTTCAGTATGTTCTACTAATATGATTTATCACTCTGAGGTCTTGGTAACCTAGCAAGTTGCTCAGTTATTATCTCTCAAGTTCACAGTACTAGAAATACTTGGCGTGCATCTTGCAGAGGGCCATACCACATTATCAAGTCAAGTTATGGTCACAGGATTCTAGAGTCTCTTTGGTAGCCATCTTCTATCTGACCGTTCCTGTATAAACTAGCTCAAATGGAAAAGTGTACTTGCCTTATAAGTTTTTAAAATAAGTTTTGATTTTCCAGTTCCCATTAGTTTCTTTTATCTTTTTCTTATGCCTTGAAATCTTCCATTTTTCATTTTGGCCTCTTAGGGAATCAAGTATTTAGGCCAAGTGATTTCTTGCAAGTACATTGCACTTTGTTATCACCTACTATATACTATTTGCATCTTAATTTTGTGAGACGTTCTGTAACATTTTTTCTCTGTGACAAAAGTTTCTAGGCTATAAAATCAAGATCTGGGGTTTGGGGGTAGATGAAATGATTTACTAATGTTAAAAATTTGCTGTATTAAACATAAATGTGCTTTTGATATGTACTTTTATAATTTTTACATTTTATTATTGAATTTTTTTCTTTGCCTAGAATGAGTTTCTAAATGTGAGCTACAATAACCACTCTATCAATCATAATTAAAAGGAGGCTAGGGATGACCCCAAGGCTCTTTTTATCCTATAAAACCATAGACAGTTTAGGTAGCTGCCTGGAACTAAAGCCTTTTTTTTTTTCACATCTCATAAACAAATGGTGGGAGGACACAAAGGATATAAAAATATCCTGATGGGGCTTCCCTGGTGGCGCAGTGGTTGAGAGTCCGCCTGCCGATGCAGGGGACACGGGTTCGTGCCCCGGTCCGGGAAGATCCCACATGCCGCGGAGCGGCTAGGCCCGTGAGCCATGGCCGCTGAGCCTGTGCATATGGAGCCTGTGCTCCGCAGTGGGAGAGGCCACAGCAGTGAGAGGCCCGCGTACCAAAAAAAAAAAAAAATCCTGATGGTAGATAAAGAAGGGGCAATATAGCTATATCTTTATGGACATGTTATGTTGACATTATTAAAGCAACATACAGTCAATCTGAAAAGTTCAGGTATATTTTTCTTGAATAATGTGTATCTATCGAGTTTTCCAGAAAGTTTTGTCGTTTTGATTCCAGAAGCCTTTTGACCCCATGTCTTGCTCTTCAACAATGGACAGTTATTGAGAAAAATTGACAATGAAGTCTTCTTGACATTTAACATCTGCAAAATTTCACCTGCAAAATGCATTTGATAGGAGAAAGTCACAAAAGAAAATTTGTAATGTCAGTGCTGGTAATGGGTAAAATTAGATCTAGGGGGAAACTGTAAGTGTATCAGATGTTCATTAAAAAGATTGAATCAATTAATTAAATCGATTAAAACAATATTTAGTAAGTTGAAAACAAAATTTGGAAATAGTTAAATTACATTATATGAAAATTAAGCTAATTTAATTGTTTGATCAAATTGTTTGCTCCAGAAAATAATTTCTCAATGAAAATTCATCAATGTTAGCTATATTCCTAAATGTGGAATTAAAATGACTTTGGAGATCACAGCAAAGTCTCTGTTTTCAGTAGCCTGAAGGTACTGGCTTGGATTTATAAATGAAGTCTTTAAAAATATCTGATTAGAAAATGGTTTGATACCTTTATTTGAGGTTATAAATCAAATATTTCTGTTTAGTTTTGCTGGTTATTAAAGGGATGTTTTATAATTGAACATTTTTGTGTGTCCTAGGTATGTTTCTATAAAACCTGATAACCGAAAACTGGCCAACGGAACTAATGTCCTCGGCTTACTGATTGACACTTTATTAATGGAAGGCTTCCATCTGGTCAGCACCAGAACAGTATCCTCTGAAGACAAAACTGAATGCTATAGCTTTGAAAGGATAAAAAAGCCTGAAGCTCTTATCATGAACAAAACACTGAAACCAGAGACTACCCTCATGCCAGAGCAATCTCAGAAAAAGAAATGAGGTTCTCTGTTCTCTTTTAGAGTAAAAAGAAATTGCCATTTTCTGGTTTGGAAATTCCATATTTAGGGCATATATGTTAGTCAAATATGTACTCACCCTAACTTTCTGGCCTTCTACCATGCCATCTTTGGGCAACCACAGCTTAACAGTGCTTAAGACACACTGACTACGTGCTGCTCTCTAAACAACACTGTGCACTTGGTGCTTTGGTGCACATTCCTTCTACCTTCAATGCCTCTTTCCCTTTCTCTTCTTCATGAACACTTACAAAGCGTTCAAGAATGGACTATGGAATCAGACTGCTTGATTTCTAATCCCAACTAAGTCACTTACTAGCTATATGGCTAGGGCAAGTCATTTAACCTCTCTCTGCCTCAACTTTTTCATCTATCAAATGAGGATAATAAATATATCTCCCTTATAGGATATATGAGGATTAAAGGAGATAATGTAAAGCATTCAACACACTGCCTGGCGCATGGTAGGCACTCAGTAACTATCAGTGATGATAATGATGAAGAAGATGGGTAACCCACTTTCAACTGTACCTCTTCTGTAAGGCCTTGTTTTCCTCCTTTCCTAGGCATAGTAATCAGCCCTTTCCTCTATCTAGACTTACATGCCATCATAAAAACAAATTTTTCTCACTTGAATGTGAGCTCGATCCACTCAACAGTTTTAACTCTACTATGTGTAAAGCACTGTGCTGAACACTTGTTGAGAAATACCTTTGTTACCAATTAGCACCTACTCTGGTAAAAAGCTTTTTGCATATAACTTCTACTAACATTTAAAATACACATATTACTTTTTAAAAAATATTTATTTATTTGGCTGCATCGGGTCTTAGTTGCAGCATGTGGGATCTTTTAGTTGTGGCATGAAGAATCTTTTAGTTGTGGCATGCAAACTCTTAGTTGCAGCATGTGGGATCTAGCTCCCTGACCAGGGATCGAACCTGCATTGGGAGTGCAGAGTCGTAGCCACTGGACCACCAGGGAAGTCCCCTACACATATTACTTTGACTTAGTGAGTCCTCTTGTAGGAATTTCTCTTATATACATGTCTTTAAAATATTAGGATAAATATCTAGAAAGGGAATCATTAGACCAAAGAGTACAAAGTACTCTGCACATAGTAGGGTTAAAAAACATTGAGTGGAAGCAGTTGAGCAGCATTTTAAAAAGTACCATTCATTCATTCAAAAACATCTGTTAAACGTTTGTTGAATACTATACTAAGTTTTCAGAATTAAAACATTTACTCATGACAAAAATCCTTATTCTCAAGGAACTCACATTCAAGTGAGACAGTGTATCATCATAACAGCAAAAAACTGGAAGTAAACTCAAAGTTCATCAACAGGTAATGTGTATAAATTATGGTTCATACAGTGAAATACCGTGCAGCCTTTAAAAAGAATGAGACAGCAGTTTATAAACTAAGAAGGAAGGATTGTCAAATATATATAAGTTGAAAAAAAGCAAGGTGTAAGACAATGTATAAAGTGGAAAAATATATTTCCACTTTATATGCAGTATCTAGTTTCCATTTGCGGAAAGATATATAATACTCATATATCTATATTCATGGAATTTTCAGCAAAGATATGTGTCACCTGTAGAGAGGAAAGTGGGTGAGTGGGGTTTGGGTGTGGGAGGAAGATTTACTTTTCATCAGACCAGGGAGGTCTTTTTTAAAAAAGGAAGAAAAAGCCATACCTGAAAGATTGTGTGTGTGTTTGCCAGGGTTGGAGGCATGTTATGACATAGTATGGCCTATTATCTCATACTGACATAAATTTTACTCTTCCATCCTTTCTGTGAAACCCCTACACTTAGTAAAGAAATTACACTCCAGAAATTTCTAGTAATTACTTATAGATTTGTGTACTAAGTTGCAGGGAAGAAAGATTTAAAAAAAAAATTTTCCTAATAGTACGTCAAAAGATTATGTATAATGGAAAAGTGCAAAATACTTCAAGATTAGTAACGTTAAGGTTAGCAATGGAAAATAATGACCCAAATAAGAAAAAAGCCTTATGAATGAGTGTTTTGTTTTTGGTGGCACACATCCTCTCTTTACTGCAGAAAAAACCAACTTAGTTGTTTTAGTCTGTCATCTTAGTTTTGGGGATGATGTGTCTGGCCTGGTTCCCTTGCTAACATCATATTCGAGGGCACAATATTTCTAGTTTGCTAAGTTTTGGGCACGCGTGTGATTTAACTAGCTGGGTGTAGTTGGCATGGTTATATATGTTACACTGTTTAATTCCGTATATGGCTTTGCTGATAAGATGATTCAAAACTGATAACTGGTTAAAAGAATAGTGAAGCAAAAAATACTGTAACTACAGGTTGGCAAGGAATAAGACAGGAAATGTTTAAACTGCTATTATGTGTTCTTAGTCATTCACACTTGCCGGAAATTAGCTTGAGATGAGAAATAAAATGTTCTTTTTAATGTGCTAATAGAAACATTACCCTGTGGAAACATGTAGTATATATACGTTTAATTAATTCAGTCAGAAAATATTTATTGACATCTACTGTGTGCCAAATACTATTCTAGACACTGGGGAGCAAGGAGCTGCAAGGAGCAAAATAAGGTCGTCCCTTCTAGAGCTCACTACAACTACAGTTCATAACACTGACAAAGGGTTTAAATTAAAATAACTTAAGCCTTTAATTAAACAGTTCCTCAAAAGTCATGGGTTCACAATCCAGAGGTTTTCAGAAGGAGATAGATAACCAAAATTTAAAAATGTATATTATTCATTAGGAAAAGTGTACTTTCAGAGTGGATTGAGTTTCTTATTTTAGTAAATATTTTAGAGATGATATTATCTGGAGACACATCTGTCAAGATTATCTAAGTAATAAGCCTCTTGTCTTCACTCCAACATAGAGTGGGGCACTGTAACTGGTATGTCAAGACGCGCAAAAGAGAGTCTTGTTTTAGAAAGGGAGGCAGGCATATGGCTGGAAGAAAACAGGCTTATGTTAGATGCACCACAGGCAAATTTAAACTCTTGCCTGCTTTAGAAAAAAAAAAAAAAAGACCTTAACATCTTCATATGAGCATCACTTAACTTCTTGACTGAATTGATTATAAGAAAATCATAAGAAATTATAAGAAAATAATGGCAGAAGCTTGTCTTGGCCAACCAAACTGAAAACTTTGGTCTATCAAATCATATACTCCTATCAATCCATCTCAGATATACGGGTATGAGTCATCACAAAGCATGGTTTGTCAGTCTTAACAATACCAGTGATAGTTGGGTCTCCCCTATTCTCCCACTTATGTTTGTTTCAGCCTCTTTCCATCACCTACAGTTTCATTTCTGATAAGGCACTAAAGATTTTAGCTTATTCTTGAACCTCAACAATGTAACCTTATAAGTTGTTGGAAGTTCTCCCTACAAAGATTTTCTGAAAAGATGCTCTGGTGTTGAATTTTACTCTCGAATTTAATATACAAGTCATAATTACAAAGAATCTACAAGTCATAATTACAAAGAATCCTTAGGTTATGTTAAAGTCGAAATTAATTCGGGCTGCTTTCAAAATATATCTGAATTCAGAAGCCTGAAGTAATATAAAATGGTCAAGGGAAAGCAGCTTGAGAAATATATGATTTAGGGAATTGTAAGCTGTTTCTATTTGTCTTGTATTCTGTTTACATCTGACAAATGTCAGCTTAGTTTTATAAGTCTTTGTATTGGTTCTCTATCATAAATAACAGAAATGGTCACATTAACAGAGACCTTGCTGGAATAACAAAAGACTTGCTAAGACTTCTAACTATCCCGTATTCTACTTTTATTTTTCCTGTGTGCTGGGGAAATTGACTCTGTAATAGCACACTTAGCAATGTAAAAGCCAGTAAGAGGAAATTTTTAAAAAGAAATTTGGGAAATTTTATTACATTCCTGGAGCCAGTGAACCCGTGGAAAACACCAATGTGACATCAAACTTATTGTTTTAAACAAAAGTTCAAGGAGTATAGAGATGAGATGAAAATATATTACTAAAAATACTTAGATTTCTGGAAAATCAACAACATCATAAAAACCATAATTACTCACCAGCTTGGTCCCAGAACAGCTTTGTCATGAATTGTTAGGCCTTCTATTGGATCTATCTGAGATGAAAAGTTATGTGCAAATTTTACCAAAAGACTCATCATCTCAATATTTCTGAGCTCAGAAAATGTCTTAATATATATCTAAGCTATGAGGTCGATCCAACTCCCAAAATACTTTAATAGATAAAAAGCTAACACCTTACATGGTGAAGGGGAAATGAGTATTAAGCATGGCACAGAATAAATAAGCAACAAAATACAGCAAAACAAATAGGAATTTGCTCCTAAAACTGAAATGTGCCTAAGACTTAGTTAATCATACAGAGCTTTCTGCACCTTCAGATTTCACACCAACACCTCAAATCCATAAATCATTGTTTTAAAGTGGTTTTTTATCAGTTGAGTAAAACACACCAACTACCAAGTGTTTCTATTTCATGTTACTTTTCTCATTTCACAATCTGGTAAGAATTTGAATGTCTTTGAGTTCCCAAGTTGGAAGCCAAACAGGAGAGGTTTATCTTACCCTTCTTGTAATAAGAGACCCCAAGAAAGTCTGGCTGCAATGTCTGAGGTTCCATGAGTTCTTTTAAGATGAGGACTGGGACTGTGCTTTATATTGGTCTTTATATTCCCCCGCAGGGCTGGACTAAGAGTCTTAACTGAACTGAACTGAAAAATTTGGAACACTATAGTCTCAGTAAACAGGCACTTGGAAAAACAAGAATTATAGTAGATTCAAAGATAGATGAGTATACTTTACATAAAGAGTCTGAAAGAGTTGATTCAAGTTAAAGACTACAGAAAAAAACCCATGGTATTTTCTACTAGAAGTTTATGTGGGTAATCACACAAAAAATGAGATGAAAGTCTAGATGTATATAGAAATACTAAGTAATTGAAAGTTATGCAAAACTGGACTTTCCTGGTGGGGCAGTGGTTAAGAATCCGCCTGCCAATGCAGGGGACACAGTTTCGAGCCCTGGTTCAGGAAGATCCCACATGCCGCAGAGCAACTAAGCACGTGCGGCACAACTACTGAGCCTGCGCTCTAGAGTTTGCAAGCCTCAACTACTGAGCCTGTGTGCCACAACTACTGGAGCCCACACACCTAGAGCCCGTGCTCCACAACAAGAGAAGCCACCACGAGAAGCCCGCGCACCACAACGAAGAGCAGCCCCCGCTCACTGCAACTAGAAAGCCCGCGTGCAGCAACGAAGACCCGACGCTGCCAAAAATAAATAAATTTTTTAAAAAAAAGTTATGCAAAATTATACATTTAATCAGAGTAAAACAGCTCAGCCAAAACTGGAATATACCATAATTTGCTAGTAAAAATGCAATGCTACGAGTGCTTAGTAATTAAATAAATATTACAGGAATACAAATTCCGAATGAATGTTACATGACTATAATCAATATTAAATCTTGACTTACCTCCATAATTTAGGAGTCATGAAAAGATAGTCGAAGTCATCAGACCAGGCACATAAGTCAGTTGCAACTAGGATGGAAATACAGAAACAAATGTTCCCAGTTCTGGATAACCTGCCTTGAAGACATAGGTTCGCTGAATTCGGATTAATCAAATGGTTCAAGGATTTAGGTAAAATGGTATAAAAGACTCTGGTATATTCAGAAGACATGTTACTGAGTTTTTTAAAGGCATTTTGGAGGCATAGATTAACATTTTAGGTTTCCTTACGTATCATTAAATTAGAACATATTAGAAATTTAAAACGTAGGGTAATGTGGTATTTCTGTCCCAT